CCAAGGGGCTGCAGGACTGGCAGGTGAGAGATTTGTCCTGACCATGGGCTAAGCAGGACACAGAAAAACTTCCAGCTACATATGCACTTTATATGAATGAATAATTTTAATTCTCTCCAAGCTTCAAATGAAGAATTAGTTAAAGTATCCAGTGTTATAGCTACTAAAAAGCTGAGCTGGGATTCAAACCCAAGTGTTTCTGACTCGCCTTAACTGGATGACTTTCATGCCCCCCAAACTAGTAAACACAAATACCCCAATGCTATCTATTACTGATGAAAACATGAGATGTAATGACAGTGATCGACGCGGACCAGCAAGTCCCTTGGTCTTTGTAAGTTCATACCAATGTCCACATTCAGTGGAATCCACTCCCCTGTCTTTAAACTTGGACATTTGGCTTGAGTTAAATGTGAAGAAATAGTATTATTAGGGTTCTGGTCCAGGCCCAAAATGGGTGGTTCTCTTGTGCTTTCCCCATCTTGATAAACCAGCCACCTTGCTGTAGACTTGGATCATTGAAGGGGAGAGGGGCAACTAAGCTGTCTAGACCATCCAACCCAAGCTAGCTGCCAGCATGCAGTCAAGTGAGTGATCCCAGCTGACATTAGGGGGAGAGTCACTCCATGGAATCATGAAATGTCATTGTCTGAAGCCAAGTTCAAGGATGCTTTTTATGTGCATAAACAGGGAAGAGAAAACTCAACATGGCACCTATGCTATTTCGGTGCTATGACAACAGCTCTCTCCAGCTGCTTGCCCACGCTCTGTGCTCCATCTTTACCACCGAGTGCTGCTTGCCTGCAGCCAAATGAAGGGTCCCTGAGTTTGCCTGAAGCCTGAGAAGCTGAAGGCACCATATACTGGCATTATAAAACATGGATAAACCAAGCAGGTAGTAACTTGAAAGCTTCATCCTGAGGGGCTAGCTTCCATGGTACTGTAAAGTGCTACCAGGGGAGAATAGTAATCCACAGTCTTCCTTAGCCAGATAAGAACCTTGTCAGCGACAATAATTATTGTTCTGTCAAGATATGCCCACTGGTACAACAGTGGCATGAATATTACAGCAGTAACCAACCATTTTCTGGATGAATTTAAGGCCAGCTCCATGAGTTGGAACCCATACTTGGCACTGTTATTGGCACCAAGAACCTATTGTTAGATAGAAAATATTTCCTAGGGAAGAATCTACTAATGTTATTTCTCCTAAAGGCCATAGTATTAAAATAATTCCTAATGAGTTGTTGCTATATCCATAGACTAGTGCATCTCAGAGAAATTCTGCGTCAGAGAAATTCTTCTTGCAGTAGTTGGCAATTAACACAAAGACCCACAAGCTGGTCAATGTGCAGAGAATAAAAGACTTCTGAGTGCTCAGCCCTAAATGGGACATTTATATCACACTCCTCCCCGCCCCCACCCCAAGGCTCAGGGATCTTTGTGGAAGTGAGCGCAGAAGTACTTTAAGGACCCAAGCAGGTGTACGACTATAAGGAAACGTGTTTTCTGGATACAACAGGGCAGAGGCATATATGAACTCACAGCTATTGTTGCAGCATGCATAAGACCTGCATGATCTCAGGCCAGACAAAATCCCAGTGTGTGGGGTGGGACACAGAGCCCCACTCCTAGCTGAGACGCTATTGGCATTTGATAGCTGCTGGGAGGGAGGGAGTTTTCTTTAAGGGTGTGACCACAATTCAGAGCAGGCCCCACACCCAAGAGTAATTGGGCAACATACTGGACTCAATAGGTTGGAGAGAGAGAGAGAGAGAGAGAGAGAGAGAGAGAGAGAGAGAGAGAGAGAGAGAGGAGAGAACATGAAGTTAGGTGGTGTGGATCTGGGAGGAGTTGGGGGAGAGGGGAAAAGATAAAAACACATTGTATGAAATTTTCAAATTTAATAAAGACATTGTTTTTAAATATCAAATAAGCAAAGCAGAAAAGTGCATGTTTTGTTTGTTTTGATTTTATTGAGACAGGGTTTTGTGTAGCTGAGGATGAACTTCTGGTTCTCTTGCCTCTACCTCCCAAGTGCTGGGATCACAGGCCTGCACCATGACATCTAATTTATGTGGTGCTAGGAACCAAACCCAGGGCTTCATGCGTGCTATGCAAACACTCTTCCAACTAACTACAGCCCCAGACCCCCGCCCCCCAAAAAAAGAATCTAAAGGGGACTGTCTGTTCATGGTCCCAGCCACAGTCTGTACAATGAAAGCAAATGCAGTCTCTTCAAAGAGCGTGGTGGGGGAAGGTGAAGAACCTGCTTCTCTGGAAAAGAAAGCAACTTGAAGAAGGAGACCAGCAACCCAATGGGAAAATAAACAAAGGACACAAAGAGATGACTACCAGTGTGCACACCTGGGTCACCAGCAAACACAGGAAAAGATGCTCAAAACCTCCAGCAGTCAGAGAGAAACACCAACTAAGTAATAATAAACTAATGCTCATTGGTTTAAAATACCTGGCTCTCGGGAAAGGAATAACCCTTGTAAGTTACTATGGAAACGTGGATTGTTATTCTTGGAGACACTCAATATTGCAACATCTATTAAAAAACATGCTAAGTGGGGCTGGAGAGATGGTTCAGCGGTTAAGAATACTGCTCTTGCTATGACATGAGTTTGGTTCCTAATGTCCATTTCAGGTCAGGTGCTCACAACTGTCCACAGTTCTGGTCTACATGGCCTCCCGTGTACCCCAGATCCGCTGTCTTTCCTTGCCTCATGGACCCTCCCCTTCTCTGGGACACATAGTTCCCCAAGTCTTGTCATCTTTCTCCTCAGTTCCAGAGGATCCAACACTCTCTTTTGGTCTCCATGGGCACCCATAGATCCATACCCTCGCAGAGACACACATGAATACACATACTTAAAAATAAAAAAAAAATCTTTTAAAATCATGCAAAGTAATGTGTTCAGGTGTGTTTGTTGCAGACACTGCAAGAGCTGGAAGTGGAGTGGACGGTAACAATAAGGAACAACTGGATAAACTGTCTATCCATACTAGGAATATTTTGCAACTATTCAGAGGAATAAATTAATCATTAATCGCAAGAACTTTGGAGGAGTTTTCCATGATGTATCAGTGACAAAGCATGATGCATTAAATTTTGTATAAAATAAAATCCTATGTTTTAAAAAATAATGACAAAACCTATATGTGCATACACATTGATGTGCATGCTTATATATGTACATATCCTCATGTGTTCTTATGCTAACCCAAATGTGTTGTGGAATATTTAACTATGTAAAGATGTGTTATATTTGTTTACGCTGTAGAAAATTGCTTTAACTGAGTAAAGGTGTGTTACATTTATTTCTGCTGCCTTTGTTAATGATGTAAAGATGTGTTACATTTGTTTATGCTGCATTTGTTTAATTATGTAAAGATGTGTTGCTATTTCACCTTGCCTACCTAAGGCACCTGATTGGTCTAATAAAAAGCTGAATAGCCAATAGCTAGGCAGGAGAGGGATAGGCAGGGCTGATGGGCAGAGAGAATAAATAGGAGGAGAAATCTATTCAAGAGAAGAAGAAGGAGAGAATGAGGAAAAAAGAGAGGGCAATGCCCAGGCCAGATGCCCCGCAGCTGCCAGGCAGACAGACACAAGAAGCAGTGAAAGAAGGAAGGAAGGAAAGAAAGAAAGAAAGAAAGAAAGAAAGAAAGAAAGAAAGAAAGAAAGAAAGAAAGAAAGAAAGAGAAAGAGAGAAAGAGAAAGAGAAAGAGAGAAAGAAAAGGTAAAAAGCCCAAATGTAGATAGGGAGAAACAGATTAAAGTAAGAGTTAAGCTAAGGCTGAGCATGTAAGTCTCTGTGTCATGATTTAGGAGCTGGTTGGTGGTCCACCCCCACAGCAAAACACCTTTTTTTTTTTTTTTACCCAATTCCCCCACAGCAAGACAGCTTCCCATACCCAACCCAATCCCCAGCCCCAGCCACAGCAAGACAGATCCGTTCCACCAAAGGAAACCTTTCTCGTGCATGTCCTCTGCTGCCTGTGCGCATGCCGGACCCAGCTGCTGACACAGTAAGTTCCAGGCTTCAGAAAAGACACCAAAAGCTGGGGTCTGAGGGCATGGTGGTACCAACTGATGGGTACAGGGTCTCCTCTGGGACTGATGATAAAGGTCTGAACCAGATGAAGAGGTCGCACCACATTGTCAATGTACCTACTACCACTAGACAGTATACTTTGAAATGGTTAAAGTGCTAGATTTGGGTTATTTATCAAATTTTGCCATAATTTTAAAGAAAAATAAAGTCCAGGCCCCTCAGAGGCCTGGTGGGGCCTCGCATGCATTACCTTTTCTTGCCGCCTGGGTGCTGGTATTGGAGGCTGTAACATTGGGCCACCTTGCAGAAGGCTCCTCAAGCCCCCCTGGAGGACGACAAGAAAAGAGAGATAAGGACATATTAAAGGAGCTAACCTGGCCACTGGGCAGCCATCAGAGCAGCAAGGATCTGGTCAACTAACTAAGGTTTACTGGGTCAATAAACACCCCTTTTTTATATAACCACTCACAAATTAGTGAGACTACCATCTTCCTTGGTCAGTCAAAGATGCTCCGAGTGGAATCCAGAGAGTTCATGGGGGGGGGGGTGTCCAGGCCAGCTCCTTAGAGCTAGAGAAGATGGGATGAACGCACAGGGAAGCTATGGAGTCAGGTCCACACAAGTGGAGAACAGCGTGGCCGGCCACTGGACTCCTGATGGAGCTCATGGCTGTGGCTCTGCTGTCCTGGGCTTTCTCTTTGTGTTCCGGTTTCCCCACAGGGAGAAATTTCTTTAGAAAGCTGCTGGGTTTTCTTCATAAACTGGGCTCTGTTGACGCCATACAGCAAGGACAGTAAGGATCAAATGTGTTTGTGGGCAGCCATATGTAGACGCCCCGTCAGTATTCGTCTCCCTGAGAAGATGTCAATCTCCCAATACTAATCCATCCTGCTGTGTGCCGCTCGATCCCTGACACATAGATTCAGCCAGGAACAAGGCACACGGGGTGCCGGCCTCAACACAAGCCCTCTCTAATTGGGGTAGCTGGAGTAACAGTGGACAGGCTAGCTGCAAGTTCTAAAGACCAAATTCAGCCTGTGCTGACAGCGGGGCCTCGGGGCTTCTACGGGGTGAAGAATGAGAGGGGTCATCGATGGGTGCCGGGTAGGGCGCCATGGAGCAGGCTATGCTCAGGAGATACAATGACCATGGAACTTTATCAAAGCCTCCAAAGAAGAATCTATTAACAAACAAGAAGGTATTTTTTGCGTTGGTTGAGAAACCTGAAGTTTATGAAGCAACTTTCCCCTAAGCCCCTTTTCCCCCATTAGAACACTCTGGATTCGTGAAGTATAACCCCATTTTAAAGAAGCCAAGGCTGAGGCACATGTTAATGAGCCCAGGATGGCCTGGCTCAGGACATGGTCTCCTGGGCAAAAGGCCAAAACTTATCCTGTGCCATCACCGCATGATGAGAGTTTGGCACCACACTGGCCAGTGGGTATGCTGTGTCCAGGTCCACACCAGCGGAGGCAGCGTGTGGCCCTGGCATCAACTCCTGAGTGGCAGACTGTCTCATCCACCGCGGTGACTCAGGCAGGGCCTGCAGCTGCCCTGGCCTCCTGTAGAGAAAGGACCCCAACACCAGGCGGAGACGGGAGACTCCCTGCATCCTGCCTGGCTGGCCGGCTCAGAATGCGCTCACACAGTCCCTGCAGCTGCCGGCGTCTGGGCTGCCAGCTCCCGGCCCTCGGGTATTCCAGTTGCGATATCATTTCCTCTCGGGCTAAAGGTCAGGGGAAATCCTGACGGTATGAAGTCCTTCCACAGCACAGGAATGTGCCATCTGCAGAGAGAGGCGGGTCGCCGCCAGGCTCCAGGTCCAGCTCAGCCTCCACCCCACAGGCTGCGCAACCGCTGCCGAGAACCTGGGCGTTAGCATCTCTGGTCTGTCAAATGGACTGCTGCGGGGACCAAATGAGGTAATGGGTTTGTTTAGGTATGTGTTCATTCAGAAAATATGCATCTGACACCTGCTATGTGCCAGATTCTGTTACTACTGCTGCAGGGGTGACCTTAGGAAATTATTATATTCTGGTGGAGGGGAGGGGAGGAAAAAAAAGGAACAAATAAAAGTGTTTAAGTTGCCTGTTCCTGAGTGCTATGAAGAAAAAAGGAGGATTCCAGGGTGCCATTCCATGTAAGAAAGAAGTCTGACGAGACAAAAATCTATAGATATCTGGCAAAAAGCATTCCAAACTGAGGAGACAGCAGGTGCAAAGGCCCTGGGGTAGGAATGTGCTCAGCAGCAGGGAGCTGGGTATGCCAGGAATGGAATGAAAGGGACAGAGAACTCTGAAACTCTATCATGTAGTGGCAAGGCCCTCAGCCATCAGCATCTGCAAGAACAGCTAGTGTGGGGCCTGGCAGGCATTCTCTGGACTTCAGCTTTTATTTTGAGGGTCCCAGAGAGGATTCAGAAGACCTAGAACTGCATCCACTTTTTGCACAACAAGAGTTGTCAGCAGTGGTCAAGAGAGAAGCATGGGGGCTGAAACTGAAAATAAGTGAACAGCAGTGGGAACCCAGCGTAGATATCAGTCAGTTTCGTCCTATTTGGCTTCCCAAAAATGAAGGGCGAGGAGACAGGAAGAAAGATCTGTAAGTTGTGTCTGGGCACAAGTCCCGTTCAAGATAAGCTGGAGGCTGTAGTGGAGGCAGTGAGGACAGTGGTGAGGGCTGGGGCTGTGCCGGAGGGAGCCGGGCCAGGAGGGATGACACTATAGAAGGCCGGGGACTCAGTGGGCTTCTCTGGTTCCTTTGGCTCTCTGATGCTGGGGCTGGAAAAGGTGGAAAGCTTTGGCTTTGGTGGAGACACAGCAGTGGATATGTCCAAGAGCATCTATCTATGCTAACTAAAGTGCCAACCATGGTGTTAGCCGCGAGCTAAGAATGTGCTAAAATCTTTCCTCTCTTGGGTCGTAAAGACCCAAGCATCAGGAAAATACATGTCCAGAGGCAAGATGCCTCCGCTGCCCTGAGGTTGCAGAAGTGTCAGCCACAGACAGTGCTTGTCACCCTCAGACAACAGTCTGTGATCAGAGCAAGAACAAGTGAGGTGCCTGGGAGGTAGAGGCAACTCCAAGGGCCCAGAGCCTCGTCCAGGCATCTGTGAGAGGACACCCGACGTTGGTGACAGTGTTAGAGCTGTGGCAATTAAGAGCACAAGTCTAAGCTAGGGACGGAAGCACATCTGTCATCCCAACACTTGGGAGGTAGGGCCAGAAGGTCAGGAGTTCAAGGCCAGTCTTAGCTATACAGCAAATTTAAGGCCAGCCTGGGCTACCTGAGATCCAGTCTCAAAAGACAAAAACAAAACACCCCCACCCAAACAAACAAACAAAACTAGAGCACATGTCCCTCATCCGATCTTATCCTCTAGAGGCGAACATGTCTTTATCCTCAGAGGGACTCCAGGCCCAGGCTTCCAGTTCTGTCTGGGATCCACTTAGAGCAGATGAGTTGACAAGCCTCGCCACTTCCCTGGTGAAAACCCTCCCACTGCCTTCGGGTGAATCCCCACTTGGTGGGTGGTTGATGAGGCCCTTACTGACATGGCCCTCTCTGGCTCCTCTGCCTCCCCCTCCGTTTCCTCGACTTCCACAGGCTGAGCCACACTGAGCTGTAGGGACTGGGTTTCTGTTTTTCACTGTCCTCCTTTATTTTTGTTGAAGCAGGTCCTTATTGTGCAAACTGGGCTGGCCTTGAACTCCAAATCCTCCTGCCTCTGGACTTACAGACAGGCACCACCCCACCATTTTCATTGGAAGCATCTTCTTCTAGCACACTCCTCTTGGGCCTGGCTAGACCTTGCTGGCTCCTCAAGGCTCTAACTGGACGCCACTCTCTGGGACACAGCAGCCCCTTACCATGTCCACAGCTACCTCACTACATATTCCCCGAATCTCTTTAGTGCTCCCTGAATCTCTTTAGTGCTCGCCAGAACCCCCTTGTTAAAATTTTAGATTCAGTAGCATGAAAGAAAGGGTATTTCTCCCCCAAGACCCTGGCATGAAGCAGGTGCCCAGTTCCAGGGATGATGGATGAGTCGGGAAGCAAAAGACAAGGGCAGCTTATTGGTGTTTCAAAAGATGATGGCAGCTTAATGCTGGGGGCAACACGTGTGTGTCTCAGCTTGACTTCAGAGAGGGAGGCAGTGATCGAGTAATGGCTCTCAGATTACTCCCAACATTGGCTGCAACTTCAATGACCTGGGAAACCTTTGTAAAAAAAATCCTGAGGCCTGCTCCCCCGATTCCCACCCTTAGAAGCTCTGTTTTAATTGACCTGTGGCATGGTCTGGACATGGAGGCTTTGAAAAGCTTCACAAGTGATCTGGAGTTACAATCAAGGTTGATTGCTGCAGCCAGGAAAAGAGGCATATACTTAACCAGGCAGTGGTGGCTCCCACCTTTAATCCCAGCACTCGGGAGGCAGAGGCAGGCGGATCTCTGTGAGTTCGAGGCCAGCATGGTCTACAGAGCGAGTTCCAGGATAGCCAGGGCTACACAGAGAAACCCTGTCTCCAAAATCAACAACAACAACAAAAAAACACAAAAAGAAAAAGGAAAAACTATGTGTCACCCATAGAAAATGAAAACTGGTCCTTGACAGGCGAGGCTGAGGCTGCAGCTCTAAGTGCTATAGAAGAAGAAAGAGGAGCTGGGGAGATGACGCCAGCAGCAAAGTGCTTGTCTAGTGAGCACTGGGACCTAAGTTTCACCCCAGAACCCATGTGAGAAAGCATGGTGGTGAATTAACCCCTGCTTTGAAGGGGCTGAGATGGGAGAGCCTGAAGCTCACTAGCCAGCCAGTCTAACTTGGCTGTCTGAAAGGAAAGGGGACAGTGTCTGAGGAATCATACCTGAGGTTGTCCTCTGGTCGACACACCACACACACACACACACACATGCACTGAGAGTGCACATACATGCGGAGGTATGTATACACATACACATACAAACAAATATATCTTACACATTTGACCCGCTGTTTAATTACCTCTTCAGTGTAACAATATGCAAAGCCTTGTAAATTTCATTAGTCACAGGGGTTTATTCAAACTGTCTCCTTTGCATAAGAAACCCAGACTTACAGCTGGTCTCTGGGAAAGAAAGCCCTCCAGGCCTTGAAAAGAGAGCTTGGCCTGTCCAAACTCTCTCTGAAATACAGTGGAGGTCAATGGCCCATGATGCATGGGGCCAGGCTGAAATGTCCCTAACTAGCATCTGCAATTCAATCCCACACTTTCCTTTATGGAACAATTCACCGAATTCCAAGTTGTTCTTTTTTCTAATTCGCCATATAATTCACCTCCCAAGTTCA